CTCCATCCTTCTCTAAAATATCCACCCACAAAACAGTGGAATCTCTGTGTGGCCTCTCCATCAGCCTTGCTTAAGGTATAAGCATATGAGTCAGCTCTTCATGTCTTTATCTTCTGCTTTACACAATATTTGAAGTGACTGTTTCTAATCTCTATTAAACTAGTACTCCTAAAAGAGCATCTCTCTGTTCATTGTTGAAATTATGTGAGGTAAGCATCTTCCTTGATTGAAGAAATGCAATTTGAAGGTCCTCATTGCTTTAAGGTCTTACGTTTCAGTTTTTTGATAGCATTCTCAGAATTTGCATCTCTTTCTGTAGAGACAAGTTGGTAGAAGCCAGAAATATAGTTCAGTCGTAAAGGCCTTGCTGAGCATGTGTGAGGCTCTGGATTCAATCTCAAACACCAGGAAAATAAAAACAAGAAGAAAGAAAAAAAAAAACATTTCTGTCCCAAATCAATCCTACCTACGAACTGTTCTGGGACTCCTTACATGGAATGTGGCATATAACCATGGGTAAGCTCTGTCTCTTCTACTGGCAGAAGAGTCTTCAGCAGTAGTTTATATCTCAGCAATACAAGATAAAAAGATCTAGCTTTCTCCAATTTCTACATTACTGTATTATGTCAGGGAAAGACAGTGCAGAGGTTTCTCCATCTTGTATTCTTGCTGAGTCATTTCAGATTTAAGTAGAATTTGATCTCCTTGATGGAGACTCCCATGGAAAATTTACCTAACTCTATTCTAGAAACTCTAGTTCAAGATGCCCCAGGTAACTTACCTTAGCTTCTGTTAAACTGCCTGCTTGTGCAAAACTCCTTCTCAGGCTAACTGCTTATCTTTGCATCTGTTAAACTACTTGCTTGTACAAAAACCTCCCCTGGTGGCAGCAGCAGAATAGATACCAGGATGTGGGTTTTGCCTTTAAAAACCCCTTGCTCTAAATGCTCCAGACTATGCTTAGGTCCCAAATAGCTGAGTGCAGTCCCAGCCAACTGGATGGAATAAAGCCTTTCAACTGGCTATAAACTATGCCTGTGTAGTCTTCTCTAGTGGGCTCCCTATAATATAATCCCCCACTCATTTGAGTCAGTTCACAATTTAGATGGTCACTTCAAACAAGTATATAGCTATATTTGTTGGTAAATTCCAGCCACCTTCTGAAGCTACAAGTAGTTTTGCGCCCCCCCACCCCCAACACACACACACACTTTGAGGTAAGGTTCACATGATTCTCTAGCTTCCACCTCCCAAACAGAGACTACAGGTCTGTACCACTGTAACTGGCTCTCATGTAAGTTCCTCTTATGGATATCAACATGTTCTAATTTAATGTACCTTCAAAATTCCCATGGTAATGTTTACCTTAAAGGTGTCCTCAGGTTTTTATTGTTCCTCTACTTAACCATATAGCCAGGCTATTGACTAGCATCATGGTGTCAGTAAAAACCCACACAAGACTTTTTGCCATTGTTAAAATTCTTCCATGACTGCTAGAAAAACAGCATTTTATTTAGACACCCTGTCTTAGTTAGGGTTTTATTGCTGTGATAAGACACCATGACCACAGCAACTCTTATAAAGAAAAACATTTAATTGGGATTGGCTTACAGTTCAGTTTAGTCCATTGTCAGCATTGGTGGGAAGCATGGTGGCATGCAAGCAGACATGGTGCAGGAGAGGGAACCAAGAGTTCTACATCCAGATCAGCAAGCAGCAGGAAAGAGTGTGAACCAGTGGGTCTGGCTTGAGCTTCAAAACCTCAAAGCCTACCTCCAGAAACACACTTCCTCCAACAAGGCCATACCTCCCAATAGGTGCACTCCCTATGAACCTATGGGGGCCATTTTTATTCAAACCACCATATACCCAGAGCTGTGATGGCTCTCTAAGCAGGATGCTGTCCAGTAGCCTCAGAACTCCTAAATATTACTATACAACTCTTTGCTGGTCAATTGAGTTCTGTGTACAAGGCACTATCTATACAATATAATCTAGCATTATTTTACACTACTCCAAAATCAGTTCTAAGGGAAAAGAGTCTTCTTGGTAAGCCTACTAAGCAAGTATGTATTCCTTCAGTTCCATATTCCTACTGAAACACAGTAGGAAAATAAATATATATAAAATATTCCATCTATATATAAATTACTTAGCAATTAGGATGTCCATACAAGATTTGTCTTTTGAATATGCTTGGCCTATTCACACAAACACTCCTTAAAGTACCTAATACTTTATGCTAATAAAAAAAGTTAGACATCTCACCAAGCAGGGAACAGTTAGTTGGGCAGAAAACACTACTGCGGCGATCTTCTCTGGTGAGGATGCTTCAGAAGCTTGGCAAGCTCAAACCATGTCCGCTCTGAAGTCTTTCAGCTGTGGCAGGCTGTGAGGATGGCACTGGTGGATGTCCAGGAAGTCACTGAGAATGTCAGCCAATACCTAATGCTGACAAGCCAGTATATGTGAGCTCAGCAGTGGTGCTGGAAGTTCAAGGGTCACAAAAGCCAGGGCCACACACAGTGGCCAGTCTCAAAGCCTCCTTGCCAATGGATATCAACACAGAAGATAGAGAAACCATGTTTGGGGAACATGGTAATGTGATCATAGGGGCCACTTTTAAAAGTTCCAATTTTTCTATTATTTCAATTGGCTGTGGCTGTACTAACATATCAACATCACCTTGGGGTTAGTTCATTAGCATATCAAGACCTGTTCTGGAGCTTCCCTTGTAACTGAGCTGCCCGGTGGTAGGTCCATTAACACAACAGAGCTTGCCTGGGGCAGGGCTGGGAGCAGGGTGGGTAGCTGCTAGCCTATCTGAGCTGCTTGGTAAGTGACTATCTTACAGGCATTGCATTATTCTAAATCATACAAAAACGGTTTTCACTTATGTTCCGAGCAGTTCTATTCTACTTTTAAAAATTTACCACTTCTGCCTTCCTTGGAGTTGAGCTCAACTGATATAGTTTAAACTTAAATCTGTGCTTCCGCTTTGAACAAGCATTAGACTTTGATGATCCCGTAGTCTTTCTTCTGCTTCTAGGCTGCTTGTCCATTTGAGTCCAACTCCTGAACCAGTGTTCTCAAAGCAGTGCGGACAGGTTTTGATTTTTAAATTTTGAGTACACTCTTGAAGTAGGAATAAAGTCTGTCCTGTACCATTAGAAGATTATTTTGCAAGATGCCATTAGTGAAAGAGAGCTACTTCTTTCTTTCACAACCTTCTAGGCTATATATAACCTTGGCCACCTTGGCCCCTAATAGAATCAGTCGGCTTTCTTTTTCACTAAACTTCTAGTAAAGAGTACTGAATTACAATGACCTCTTTGGGGCTACTGAGGCACCCAAACAAGTCTACCTAAGAGAAGCCTTAGAACAAAAGAGAACAAAAGCTCCAGACACACAAGGTTCTCTCCTTTCCTAAATCTAGAAGTAGCTCAACCTCTGATCCCTTCCTACTCCTCAGGAGTTCTCCAGTTCTTATCACTGCGTTGGTTAAGTGGTCAGCTCTCACACTAAAGTCATCCAGGTTCCCACCAGCATTTACATCATTAGCAGAAACTCATTTGCTTAGTTACCATTCTATAGCTGTGAAGAGACACTGTGACCAAGGCAGCTTATAGAAGAAAGCATTTAATTGGGGGACTAGCTTACAATTTCTGAGAGTTAGTCCATTATCATCATGGTTGAGAAGTGTGGTGGCAGGCAGGCAGGCATGGCGCTGGAGAATTAGGTGACAGTACATTCTGATCCTCAGGCAGCAGACAATGAGAGAGACAGCCTGGCATGTCTCTTTTGAAACCTTAAAGCTCGTGCCCAGTGTCACAACTGTTCCAAACAAGGCTACACTTCTTCCAAAAGGCTACTTTCTAATCATTCTCAAACAGTTCCACTCCCTAGTGAGTAAGCATATATGATTCTATAGGTCCATTCTCATTCAAACCACTACATCAGCTATGAGCAAAACTCACTTGTGATAGATGAAAAAATAGTGACCCTAGTTGTGAGGCAGGAAGGCACTATCCTGACAGGAGCAGGAGGTGAGAGGGCTTCAGTGAGGTGAATGTTAGGCATCATGATGTGTGGGTCATGGTTATATGTGTACACACACGAAAGATTAAGCAATAAACTTAATACTTGGTAAACAAATTTATAAACCTAGAGAACATTAAGAGAAAACAGAATAAGAATAGAAGCATAACTTTTTCCACTGCTGAGGAAAAATAAAGACAAATCATTCTATAAGGAAGAAAAATAGACAAGATAATCATGGTTACTACAAAGTATATTACAAACTGGCAGGAAGGAATGTGAAAACTACTTTAGCATATACATATGAGACCAAACAGCCTAAGGTAAGCAAAACAAATAGCAGAATGTGTCAAAAACAAGAAAAGGAGTAAATCCATATAATGACTCCCTCTCACTGTTATTTCACGTATTTCAACACATCCTTCCCATGCGGGCAAAAGCAAAAACAAGATTAAAAAAAAAAAAATGAAGCCGAACTCTCTCATCTTATTAATAAACTTTTTATATAAACTTCGTTCTAAATCTTTAAACGACTACTAATTTCATTTCCCAGGGTTTTGTGTTTGTTTGCTTTTGAAAATCGTTTTGGTCACTAGGCTTGGAATGCCTTTGGAATTCTTCTCATTAAGAGCAATGGAACTTTATTTTTCCCTTCCCCTAACGGCTTCTTATTCAGCCGCGCTTCAGGGAGGGAGCCCCAGACGGGAAGCCGGGGCCAGCTGAGCGGGTGTGAAGAGGCCACAAACCAGTTTCCGCAGCCCCGCGACACCCGCTTGAGGTGCGGAGCTGCCGACCAATCACAGCCAGGGGCCGCCCGTGGCTGAGGGGCCGCCCGGCCCATCCTTCCGCCCTCCCGCCTGCGCACAGCGCCACCCGACCGGTAGGAGGCGGCCTCGACCAGCAGGGGAGTTCCGTGCCTCGCCGCGTCTCGCTCCGTCTCCACAGCCCTCGCCACCGCCGACATGGTGGAAGCCGACCGTCCAGGGAAGCTCTTCATCGGAGGTCTCAACCTCGAAACCGACGAGAAAGCCCTCGAGGCGGCGTTTGGCAAGTATGGCCGCATCATCGAGGTGCTCCTGATGAAGGACCGGGAAACCTCCAAGTCCAGAGGCTTCGCCTTCGTCACCTTCGAGAACCCCGCGGACGCCAAGGCCGCCTCCCGAGACATGAATGGCAAGTCCCTGGATGGTAAGGCCATCAAGGTGGCCCAGGCCACCAAGCCGGTGTTCGAGAGCAGCCGGCGCGGGCCCCCCGCCTCCCCGCAGCCGCGGCCGCCCGAGGGGCCTGCGCGGGAGCCGCGGCGGCGGCGGCGGCCCGCGGCGCCCTCCCTCCCGGGGCGGGTCGGCCGACGAAGGCGGCTACACGGGGGATTTCGACCTGCGGCCTTCCCGGGCCCCGATGCCGCTGAAGCGCGGGCCACCGCCTCGCCGGGCCGGGCCTCCGCCAAAAAGAGCCGCGCCGTCGGGCCCGGCGCGCAGCGGCGCGGGAATTCGCGGGCGGGCCGCGGGCTCGCGGGGGCGAGACGGCTACGGGGGCCCTCCGCGCCGGGAGCTGCCGCCGCCGCGCCGCGACCCGTACCTGGGCCCGCGCGACGAGGGCTACTCGCCCCGGGAGAGCTACTCGAGCCGCGACTACCCGAGCGCCCGGGACCCGCGCGACTTCGCGCCCTCGCCGCGCGACTACACCTACCGCGACTACGGCCACTCGAGCGCGCGCGACGAATGCCCTTCCAGGGGCTACTGCGAGCGCGACGGCTACGGGGGCCGCGAGCGCGACTACGCCGAGCACCCTAGCGGAGGCTCCTACCGAGACCCCTTCGACGGCTACGGCGACCCGCGCGGCGCCGGCCCTGCCCGCGGTCCGCCGCCATCTTACGGCGGAGGCCGCTACGAAGAGTACCGCGGCTGCTCGCCCGACGGCTACGGCGGCCGCGACAGCTACCGCAGCGAGCGCTACTCGAGTGGCCGCGAGCGCGTGGGCAGGCCGGAGCGCGGGCTGCCACCGTCTGTGGAACGAAGCTGCCCGACCCCGCGCGACTCCTACAGCCGCTCGGGCCGCCGGGCGCCCCCCAGGGGAGGAGGCCGAGTGGGAAGCCGCCTGGAGCGAGGGGGAGGTCGGAGCAGGTACTGAGGCCGCCGGGGCTCAGGACTCACGTCCAAAGTCAAGAAAAGAAGAAACAGTTTGCTGGTAACTCACCCAAGGACTAGTGCCAAGAAGAGTTGTTTTTCTTATTTTTTTTACCGTTTTAAGATTTTTGCACCCCTGTTAACTTCCTCTGCATTTTTATGCTTTTGAGAGGCAAAAAAAAAAAAGTTAAAACCCGTTTAATTTCATTTTGGAATTGTTAAACGTTTCAACAAGCTCGTGTTAAAAGTATGACTTGAACCTGAGTAGTAGTCTTCCTTGTCGTTCAAAGTAGTTCTCTTAAAGGCTTCTTCCCTTCCAAATTTGCCTGATAAATGAGGCAAGCGGTTCTAAGGTGTTTTCACAGAAATCTTGCCCACCTAAAGTGGAAAAAGGATCGTGCGACCCCTTCAGACCAAACTGGGGTTTGGGGAGAAAGCCTTGGGGGGAATTGGTGTTTGCTACTGGATTCCAGAGTGTCTATCAAACTGAATCTCTGTTTGTACTAAAAGTACTAAAAGCCAACCAAACAGCAACCAAACCCACTTAGACCAGACGCTGTGTAAAGAAGGTGCCATTCGCTCAATGCTCAATGAGTCTAAAGCAAATGGATGCTGGCCTTTATTTTAACTTTTTTGACTGTTTTGCCAATTTCGCCTTTTCTTTGGGGATCTACAGAATCTCCTCACTCCCCAAAATAGCATTTACATGATTGGAACAGCGATGGAATACTAAATTTAAAATTTGGCCAACCACAACCTGAAAAACAAAACAACCCAAAATTATCTGTTGATAGCATTTATTTTTACCATTAACAAATTACGAAAGAAGTGTGCCAGTGGTGGATTTGGGAATCATAATGACTTCCATTCCTGAGATAGATACTGGTTCAGGTGGAGAGAATTGGGCTTCTTCCCCCTGGGGTGAAGCTTCTCAGGAACAAAGGTCAGAGAATCCCTGAAAGATTCCATTTCAACACCTGAGAATCTCAAATGCTTTGAAGGGGCAGGGTCAACTCTCTGAAAAAAGCAAAGGGTTTGTTGATTGTTCCCCACTGAAAAGGGGGGTTTGGGCAGAGAAAGACCAGAGAGGCTTCTTTCAAGATACTTCAGGAGAGACATAGGTCTCCTCTTTTCACCCTAAACTTAGGTCAAGAAATACCTGTGGAATTCCCTTGCTTATGTGAGAAAAAGGTATAGAACTTACTTTCAGTGTAATATTGCTCGATGAAACATCTGGACACCTGAACAACAACAACAAAAGTCTTGAGTTCTGAATGCAACACACACAATCCTAGAGCATGGGTTTTTTTGACAATGTAGTAGATGAATTAAAGGATGCGCCATCTAGTGGCCCAGAAGATGAAACACAGCAAATAGAAATTTTAAATCCAGGAATTCTAGCAAAACTACCTAAAATCTTTATGGGGAAAAGTTATTTATTAAAGAAAAAAAGAAGAACTAAACAAATGGAAAGTCATGTTACCTCATGATTGAGAAAACTTACCATAATTTCTCAATCTTGCCAAATTAATTTGAAAAAGCAGTACAACTTGAACTGAAGTCACAACATATTTTTCTCATAGCTCCCCTCCCCTTCTTAATAACACCATTCATTGTTGATCAGTGATGCAATGTTAATAGTAAGCCAAACCCAAAACAAAACAGTAACTTTATTTTATCAACAAATTATGAAGGAACTTTTTTTTTAAGATAATGGAAGATATAGCTAATCCTAAAATTTGCATGATGGAATAAAGAGCAAGAAGAGCCAAAATAGTTTTGAGAAAAAGTATTAGGAGATATCAAGTATAATCAGATATCAAGATTTCTTACAAAGCTCTAGCAATCTAAGCTGTATATTACTATCAACAGACAAAAATAGACCAGTAGACCAAAATCATGAGCCTAGAAACAGTCCTACCTACAGATACAAGCACTGTTGTATGATAGAAGTAGCTTTAAAACTCAATGGTGGAAGGATGGACATTTTAAAAATGACTGTTGATTTACAAATGATAAAGTCAGATTCTTTAACTCACACAATACACAGAAATATGTTCTAGATGGTTTGAAAACAATTCTGAAGAGGAAAAGTGAAACAATTAAATGCATTCACCATAGGTGGGTAAAGAATTCTTAAAGACAAAAGCACAAACCTACAAGGAAAATGTTGATATAATTTCCACACTATTAAGATATTTTGTGATAAAAGGTACTATTAACAGTGAAATGTCAAATAAATTGAAAGCATGTTTTTATATTGAAATAACTTCCAAAAGAATTCTTTGGAAATACTTTTTAAAAAATGACAAGGAATAAATGAGCAAAAGGACTCATACTTTCCTGGTAGGTGTAGAAGTTGACACAGACTCTTTGGAAGTACATTGACAGTGCCTAGTAAAGCTGAAAGGTGTGTATCTATCTCATGATCCAGAAATTTCAAGACAAGACCCTAGAAAACGTACAAGTACACAAGGAGTTATGCACAAAACTGGTGTTTTAGAGCCCTCTTGAGCGTTTAAAGGGTGTAAACAGCTTATCAGGAATGGTTCCACAGAGGATGAAGGTCCACCCAGAAGCAAAGGTGAATTGACAAGATCCACATGATCAACATGGGTAAGTATAAAGTATGTGGAGGAAGGGGGAAATTGCATAACTATAAATTACATAAATATACAAAAACCAAAAAGCATTATTAGAGTGATAACACAAGATAAGGATATTTAGTGTGAGGAGGAAATGGAGGAGATGGGATAAGGAGTAAGTTTTAGGTCAATCTTACCCTCTATGCTTTTTTTTCTGAATGACAGATTTTACTGAGCATGGTACCTGAGGTGGAGGCAGAGGATTATGAGTTGAGGCCACCTTAGTTTTACATAGTGAGACCTTGTCTCAAAACTAAATTTTTTTTTTTTTTTTTTGGTTTTTTGAGACAGGGTTTCTCTGTGTAGCTTTGCACCTTTTCCTGGAACTCACTTGGTAACCCTGGCTGGCCTCGAACTCACAGAGATCCGCCTGGCTCTGCCTCCCGAGTGCTGGGATTAAAGGCGTGCGCCACCACCGCCCGGCTTCAAAACTAAATTTTTAAGAATTAAAATATATGAGGAGTTGGAGAGAGTCTGGAAGAAATTGGGAGTGGGGATCATGATCAGAATATAGTGTATAAAATTTTTTTTTGTCCAATTTAAAAGAAAAAAAACTGCTGGGTGATGGTGGCACATGCTTTTAATCCCAGCCCTTGTGAGACTGAGGTGGAGGCAGGCAGATCTCAGTTTGTGGCCAGCCTGGTCTACAGTTAGTTCCAGGACAGGACAGGGCTACACAGAGAAACCCTGCCTCGAAAAGTCAAAAGAAAAAAACTATATTATTTCTATGGTTTATATATTAACATACAAGTTTAAAACATTTCACAGAAATTTTAATATGATAATTAGAGGATTGCACAATACATGGTGTATAACCAAACAATAAAATGAAACATTTTTACAGTGATTTTCCTTTGTTCTCAAGTAGAGGTGATGCATTTGGCTAAGTTTCTAGAACCTTCCTTCCCTGGATGGGCTTACAGCTAGTTTATCAAAATTTCATATAATTTGCATATCTGAATTCCAAATCTTAGGAAGTTGCAGGTTTTCCCCTTTAGGGCTTAGTTTTGTCTTTTGAGACAGTGTCTTAGATCCTAGAGTAAACTCAAATTCACTAGTAGACTAGCAAGACCTTGAATTCCTTTTCCCTCTTGTCACTATCTCCTATGTGCTTACACCACAGGCATGCCTACCCAGGCTAGGTCCAGACTTATTCTGGAAGCAATGAAAAACTTACACAATTAACATTACTTAATGAATAGTAATCTTAATGTTGAAGCCATTTATAACTAGTTGGGCTCCTGTAACTTTTCTTTAAATTATACGACTTCCACACCCACCCTCCTTTTAGCTTCTATTTTAAAAGCAATGTGTTGTTCATTTTCTTAAAATATTCTTTTTCAAGGACAATAACTCTGCTCTCAATGTTTTCCTCCTTGGGGCAGAATGTAGAAGTTACCAAGCAGAATCAGGCTGTATTGCATACATACATGCATTCCCTGTGGAGGTAAAAAAGTTCTTTTTAGAATCTGCCTGTTGTATATGCAGTGACACTGAATCTAAAGATAAGCTCTGTCCCAGGATAGCCCTTGCAAGAATAATTTTTAAAAGACCCAACCATAAATATGTATGTCATATATATATAACATATATATGTCATATATATGTCATTTTGTGTGTGTGTGTGTGTGTGTGTGTGTGTGTGTGTGTGTGTGTGTGTACATATGGAATGTCATTATCCAGCGCAAAACTTAACTCTAGAGGAACTGCAGTGAGCAATGACCCCATGGAACTGAAGAGACTGTTGGGAAGTTTTAGGGGGGCAGTACAGGGGAGCAGCAGTACAGCTTCCCTGGTTTGCCTGGAGGCCACTTGCTTAGTGGAGACAACATTTGCTCACTAGTGCCATCCTCAGTCTAGAATTTTGTCCCTCTTATCAGCATTCAATATTGGGAACACACTAATAGAGCTGTGAGCAACTGTGGTTAAAACAGAGTGAGTTGTGAACTGTCTTAAAAAGTGGGCCTAACAATTTTCCTACTAAACTTTACAAAAATCGTGTCTTCTAGAAGGCCAATCTGTTGGGGAGTCATTCTGGAGAAAGTAATCCTTAGCCAGGCAATGAGACAGGGCTTTGAGCATGCTGGGCTGGCACTCTACCAACTGAGTTAACCTGGTAGCCATAACTTAATCCTTAGATTCAAAAGGGATTATAGGCTGATTAAATTATACAAATGCATACAGATTTAATTATGTTGTAGTTAACTATGAGGTAATAGCAGTAAGAGATTGGCACAGGACACCAGAAAGTGCTACCTTAAAGAAGTAATAACTGAAATAAGATGTAAAGATGAGTGCCAGATAGCTATGAAAATTAAATGAGAATACATTTTAAATGTAGCACATAGGAAGTTTTCTT